CTATGTATATCTATATAACTGTGACTAAAACTAAATCTATTCCTATGGATAACATAGGTATCTATGTGTATCTGTATAACTATATCTAAAACTAAATCTATTCCTATGAATAACATGGGTATCTATGTATATCTGTATAACTAGAACTAAAACTAAAACTAAATCTCTTCCTACGAGTAACATGGGTATCTATGTATATCTATATAACTAGAACTAAAACTAAATCTATTCCTATGAATAACATGGGTGTCTATGTATATCTATATAACTAGAACTAAAACTAAATTTATTCCTATGAATAAGATGGATATCTATGTATATCTATATATCTATATATCTATATAACTATGACTAGAACTAAATCTATTCCTATGAATAGCGTAGTTATATTTTGTGCATTTATATTATAAGTCGAATTAGGCAGCTACTCAAAATATTAGCTATGACATCAATTATAATTATTAACACCAGAAAAAAAATAATTCGAATCTAAAGTTCGATTGTGAGTTAGAAATATTAATTTGATCGATTGATTGTTTTTTTATTCTTTAGATGAAATAATTTGTATACATATTTAAGGAATTATGCAAGGTCAATTAAACAAAAGTAAATAATTCATAAAGGTTTTTTCAAATTTAACTGGATTTTATTTATATATTTCATTATTCAAAAAGTTAAAAGAAAATAAAGATAATTATTAGATATGGTGTATTCTTCAATAGCATTTTTACTATTATTTTATCACTGTTTATTAAAAGAATCTGATTTCTTCTTATAATAGATAATTTTATACTTTTGTAGAACTCACATTGTGTATTTCGAAGAAAAATATAGCGAGCGTAATTCCTAACTCATGCTTTTGAGGCTTTCCCATCCTCTCATAGCAACGTGGGTGAGAATGACTTGGGTACGTTTCCATGGCAACGGAAAAAGACGCAAAACTTAGACTGTTCTAACATATTTCAAAGTGTTCCTTGAAATTTAAAATTAGTTATGTATTGGTTTGTCATAATTGTCATTTAATTAACATAAAAAGCATGAACTAATCAAGTTCTAACTTTTGAAAATAATCACCATCAAAAGAAAAAAAATTATGTTCGAAATAGCGAAATAAATAGAACAAAAATATTTCTCTAATAATCGATTACTTGTTGAAGACAATTATTATTTGTGAACAATTTTCCGACTGATATGCTTTGTATTAATATTTAAATTGATCTTAATTTCATTTTTCCTACTTGCTCCATCGCTCACCCATCGGTCCTATAAGTACATTAATGATAAAACAAGATCCTATTACTATTAGTTGGAGACCATGTAAAGATGATGATGAAAATAAACTTATTGGCTACATTTTTGGAAAACATGATGCTTCAAGAAATGTTTGGCAACGTACTGCATATAATATATTTACGTATACAACTACTGGATTTACTGGAAATGTTGCACATCGTTTTCACGTATATGTAAAAAAATTCTATTGGAATCTTACCAATATTAATAACTATTAATCCAATTATTGTTAAAATTTCTTATACATATCCACATATACCAGAAGGATGACCATTATTTAAAAAAAACTGTTTCATCAAATTCAATTGAATATTTATGACAACCACCATTAAGTGATGATGATACAAAATTAAGACCAATATCGGTTAAAATAAATTATTCATAAAAAAAAAGTTGTGTTATTAATTTTCCTTTATAAGATAGAATGGTTATGTCAATGTTGATATATGTCAATTTACAATAAAATATTTACTTGATGAAAGTTCTTATTTAATAGAAGCATATTGTAATAATTCTGAAGATAAATCATTAAAATTAGAATAAACAGTTAAATTAATATGCAAAGTCGATGTACTCGAACCACCAACTAAATTCGATGTTATAACTAGAGTAGATTAACGAATAACATTAGGATAGGAAATGTCACGTAATGATAGTGATAGTTCATTAATAGAATATTTATTAGAAATGTATGATTAAAAAAAAAGGTAAATATAATAAATAGGTACAAGTACAAATTCCAACAGCAATAACAGCAAGTTTTTCTCGAGTAAAAAAAATTAAATTAAAATGTCTATTATTATTTTTATAGTAAATCAGCAAACTCTCTTGGATATAATGCAGCAAAAGTAGTTAAACCAGAAAAGCAAACAAAATAGTAAATTAATTAATTTACTTTCAACAAATAAATTCATTCTTTTAAATTGTAAATTAAAAAACCTATCGTTATCAATGGGTCCAAGTGATACTTCATTTTATATTATTGAATGTTGTGCTACTCTTAAAGCGGATTGGATTCTAGTAAAAAAAATTCCATCAAATCAATATATTCTTCTTATTTAAAAATGAAGATGACCTTTAAAGTGAATGACTTGAATTACGTATAGCTATTTTATGTCAAAATACATATGGTGCTTCATCCACTACCGAAACAATCCTATCATTAAAGATATCATAGGATAAACCGTACGTACACAATTGGATCAAACAGTGGCAAAGATTTTAATAAAAAGGAAACCTATTTTATTTAGTTTCATTAGCAAAATGATGTGATGTTAAACTCTGAAAAATTAAAAGGTGACGGTGTGAGTGTAGATGAAGACAAGATTGACGTCCACATCCACATCCGCTCAGCCCACACTCACACCTATAGTGAAATAGCATATAAATGAGAAGTCTCCGTTGTTAGTTAGTACATTTGCTAAGTCTAACTTTCCAAATCCATATCAGAAAACTCGCCCTATGGTTTATCTATTCAATTCAAAATTTCCCTAATAATGATGATCACTTATCATTGCAAAGGTGTTGACAGCATTGGTCATAGACTCCTAACACCACTGAATGTGGTCAGTTTTCTATCAACCTAGTTGGACAAAAATATTCTAACTAATAAATATGGAAAATTTTCTTTTTTGTTTTCCTCGAAACCAGTTTCTACACCAAAAAAGTGCAGTATCGCCCCTGTTTCTACAGCACAATATGTTCGATCGAGCTGAAAGTTTTACAGATACTAGACATTGTTTTGCAGTGCCTACTTTCTTTCATTTTGACAAAATATTGTTCTGATGATTTTTGGCGGAGTTCACAGAAAAAGCTCCAGTAAAAAAAAGCATGTATGCCCAAACAGTGCCTAGTATATGTAAAAAGAGTTTCAGCTGTATGGGATGTGTTGCGACTTAGAAAGCGGGGTCATTAGAGGAGCGATTTGTAATACTTACAACTCCGATATCTCCTAGAAGGAAGCATTTGGAAATTTTGAGTTTGAGACAAATTTTGCTCTACTAGTCGAGATCTGTCTGCTCTGAAAGTTTCAAATTTCTCTGATGAATTGCTCTCCAGAAATCCGAAAACGGAGGAGGTCCTCCTTAATTATATAAGACTGGTGGCTACGTAGATCTAGTTCAACATCAAAACTAACAATAATAGAATGACAAAAGTGACTTCTAATGAGTTATTAGGCGCGTATCTGCCACTTTTTGCAACTCTAGTTAACAAAGAGTAAAAAACACTATCAAACGTTTTTTAACATGTTTACCAATATACCAGCTTCTTACTATAGATGTAGCTGCAGTACAATATTTTTTGAATAATAGCTTGGATGTTACTCTTGAAATATATGTCTTTAAGAGCTGTCTAACTCTAGATTCTAAAAAAAATTAAAAAAGTGCAAATGAAGTTTGGACCCATAAAACATGCTTCAAATGCAGCGTGCGAGTATGACTCACGAATGATAAACAACAGTTGATATTTTCCAACCAAAAAGAAGTAGGAAGAGAAAAATAGTAAGAAAACGAGTCTCACACTTTTTCATATAATAGGATCCACGAAGCCTAAAAAATCAACCAGACGTAAGTTTAATTCTTTGGTTGTGTTTGTACTAGCGTAGTTCATCGTCCTTGATAATCACTGCTTCTTTTTACAACTATGAGTCATCTTATAAAACATCACATGCAAGACTTTGCAAAGTATGTGAGAAAGAGAAAGATTACTGCACATTATTGATCGTTGTATGAGTTGATAATATCAGATAAATTATAAAAAAGAATAACTCTTGGGTAGTTACGAATAGAATCTGAAGAATTTTGTACAAAGTTGTTTATACATAATTTACCATATCGCTTCATTTTGAAGGGTTTATTGTCTAGTAGCACTTTTATAAAATGTACTTTATAATTAAAAAATCGAGCAAACAATCGAGAAGACACTTCCTATGTTTATTTCCAACTTGGAAATTGCACAAATATGCATGTACAACATGAAGGTCAGACAGAAAAGCAAAAAAAGAAAAAGAAAAAACCAAACAGACAGTGGCGCACTGGGTTTTTACGAGAGGAAAAATGGAACAGATGACTAACGATGTTATCAAGTTTTTTTCGTTTGAGTTTTTTATAATGTAGCAATTGTATTTATTGTTTATAAATCGATGACAACATAAGGAACGAAGCCACAAGGCTTGACTAGACTCAAGCCTATCCGAGATTCACATTTCATGGACTTGAATAGGCTCAAATTATTTTTTCGTCTTCCATTAGATTGATAGATTAGAATAGTGCATCCCAATTCTTGTACAAGCATCAGTAGTTTTCGTCGTTGTCGTCGGCTAATAATAACATTTTCTTAATCGAACCGACTTTAAAAAAGGTTTTGAGCAAACACTGAATTTCTATAAGTTAATATTGAATCATACATTGACAATGACTTGAAGTGAGGATTCTTCATAACCAATAAAGAAGAACTAGACAGACAATTTGAGCTAGATTAACTAGAACCTGTTAAAACTTCTCTTCACCTGCGGCGATAAACAGTACATGTCTATCAAATATTTTCAGCTGTTAACAAACTGATAATGTAATATCATTTTCGTGAATATTTTAACTTCACGAATGGATTTTTTTCTAATAAAGCAGATCTAAAACTCTTCTTTCAAAGGGAGCATGCATTTTAATGAAGATACACGTTCTCATGGTTCTTCAAATGAACATTTTTTTTACGCAAGCTATGAATTTTTTCTGAATTACATCACTGTTACACGCTGCAAAATGTGAGCTCGAACAACAAAGTACTGGTCGTATTTTATGTAAATCACACACAAAACTAGTCTTTTCTCATTTTTAGCTTCCAGATGTGTATCTTATAAAAAACTTTGAGCGTACACTATGTTAGAAACTCTTCACCTCTTATGAATGATAATTGTGTTTTTAGTTCAAATTAGAGTGAAATACAAATGTAGTTAACTATGCCTAGTTCTCAGTTAGAAAAGGCTTTTTTTAATACGAAAAGAGGTTTTCTTCGGGTTTAACAATCTTCCATCAATAAATTTAGTGAGGGTTGTCTGAATAATGGAAACTAAATTTATGATTATGAGAAAATTTCATTACACAAGAAAGTGTGTAAAAGGTCTCTGAGTGTTGATGCAGTCCCAGGATTTGGTCTTCTGTTCGCTCTCATTCACACTTCTACTTAAACTTCGACCCATACTAGTCCACACCCACGCTCACACCCAAAAGTGGCAAAAGAGTGAGAGTTACATCTACTAAAATTCATTGCTTGTGTGAGGCGTTTGTTGGGATGGTGAAATATTTTTTCGAGCAAATTTTTTTCTTATGAATGTATTCTTGAAGTATGCTGAGGGTGAGGGTGATAGATCTCTCCTCACCCTCACCCTTAAGGATCATCCAGAGTGCATTGTGATTTACATTAATCGACAGAGGAAAAAACTAATCTCCTCGATTGGTTGCTGATTACAGCAAAAGGAAAGGAAGATAGCGATGGCTATGTTGCTTGTACAATGATTCGACAATTCTTTTTTTTTCTTTTTTTGCTTTGCCTCAATCACCTTGAACCTGATTGCTCTTTACTAGACTTGCAATGATAGTTTGCACACCGAATGTATGATGTTTCTAAGAAAGTGTTGGTACTAATTTTTAATCTTCAACTTCATTCGACTTATATCCATCGTTCTAGATTATCTACGATCTATTCGTCATACAGAGAAAAACAACGATGGAAAACAAATTTTTGGACGAACCTGATGCTATCCATCACGATGAAAGTTCAAGTCCGATCTATGGTTATCAAGACCAACGAATTATGACATTGGAAGAAGCTGTTCAAAGCATCACACATGTCATCCCTGATGTCATTAAATACGTCACACAAGCAAAGCTACAATACAGGAAACCGAGTATATTAACAGAAGACGAATTTGCAGCCATCTATCTCTACACGATGCCTAACCAATTTTTTTCGACGCTAAACCATCATCTTCGATCTATGGATAGACAGGCATTAAGACCATGGTTTGCCTACCTGAAACTCTTCATTACCGCCCTTAATGAGTTACCCTCATTCAAGGGTACCGTGTGGCGTGGTGTACCGAATAGAATCAATTTTACGCCTGCCGATTATGCTGTTCAAACTTGGTGGGCAGTAACTTCTACTTCGAAAGATCTCAAGATCATCGAGCCTTTTCTCGACAACACGGGTACCTTTTATGCTATTGAAATGATAAATGGCAGAGATGTTTCACAGTATTCAGCTAATCTTCAAGAACAGGAAGTTATCCTTATGCCAGGTACACGAATATATCTCACAAGTGAACCACTTCAAGTCAACAACGGACCATTCATGCTCTCTTTCAAAGAATGGTGAGTGAATTGACTTTACTTGACGACTAGTCTTTCGTATAAGTAACTTTGAGTGCTATGAATCTTTCTCATTCATATCAGAGACATCAGCTTCTGAGAGAATCATCAATCGTCGACACAGATATATTGTTGACATTTCTATCTTCTAGTACGAGCATACCTCAAGGCAAACACGTC